ACAGCAATGATGTCTCCCAAACACTCGTTCTAGCACATTGTGTTCTCTCTCCTCCACAGTGTGTAGGTAAATGAATAATCCGTGACTGACATGAGAATGTCTGGGAAGAATGAGATGAGGGGAAGTAGCCTCTGGAGAATGTCTTCATCCCTGGAGAAAGTTGCTTTCTTTTCAGTTTCTGCTATTAATTTAGTGGAGAGGAGAGCAGCACTGCAGCAGGTTAAATTTGAACAATACAGTGTTACTTGGCATGGTGCAACCTTTAAAAAAAATCATAATGCAATTACATTGAGAATGCCATTAACCCACAGAGACAATAATTTTTTCAAAGACAGTATACCAGTTTAAGATGTGCAGCCTACTGTCTTTTAATATCAACAGGGCACACCTCTGAGAATTGAAAATTTCTTGGTGCTTATTTAGCACACTTTTAAGATTTACCTGAAAGCAGGTGGAGATTAGAGAATGAATACATCTTGGCTCAGACACACTTGAGCATAGAATCATAGAATCGTTTGGGTTGGAAAGGACCTTAAGATCATCTAGTTCCAACCCCCCTGTGATGGGCAGGGACACCTCACACTAAACCATCTCACCCAAGGCTTTGTCCAACCTGGCCTTGAACACCGCTGGGGATGGAGCATTCACAACCTCCCTGGGCAACCCATCCAGTGCCTCACCGCCCTAACAGGAAAGAACTTCTTCCTTATATCCAGTCTAAACTTCCCCTGTTTAAGTTTTAACCTGTTACCCCTTGTCCTGTCACTACAGTCCCTAATGAAGAGTCCGTCCCCAGCATCCTTATAAGGCCCCTTCAGATACTGGAAGGCTGCTATGAGGTCTCCACGCAGCCTTCTCTTCTCCAGGCTCCCTTCTCCTCAACTTCCTCAGCCTATCTTCTTACGGGAGGTGCTCCAGTCCCCTGATCATCCTCGTGGCCCTTCTCTGGACTTGTTCCAACAGTTCCATGTCCGTTTTATGTTGAGGACACCAGAACTGCACACAATACTCCAGGTGAGGTCTCACGAGAGCAGAGTAGCGGGGCAGGATCACCTCCATGGTGATCTACCTACCCCCTGGTAGAGGGGCAGGTCACCTGCTGGTCACGCTCTTTTTGATGCAGCCCAGGATGCAGTTGGCTTTCTGGGCTGTGAGCACACACTGCCAGCTCATGTTCATTTTCTCATTGACCAGCACCCCCAAGTCCTGTTTTGGTTTGGTTTTGTCTGTCTTGGGCAGTAAGAGTAATGAAAAAATAAGACATTAAAGTGTAAATACTTATAATTCTGTGTGTTCCCATATATGAACAGGAGCACTTCTGGCTTGTTGAAACCACTCATGTCCTCATTCAATCCCCACAATTTTGCCAATCCAACTGTTTTAACACAACATTGGACCAGCTAGGGAACTAATCAGTGCAAGACTATCCTACTTAGAGATCTTTACCCTCGCTATCAGTTCTCAAATCCAGTTCACCTTCTAGCCCTGTAAATATTTGTACTGAAGGAGAAGCATGGAGAATGGAACAGCGAGTTCAGGGAGGTTGGGGCAGGCTTAGCTGCCACACTTCCTAAGGGACCTTCACTGCAAACGTTGGCATGTTAGTATTGGGTGTTATTTCATTAAAGTTTAAACTAACCTTTTCAACACTGCAGCTAAAAGCATATCCATTTTGACTGAAGGGACAAGAAGTGGCTGTTTGTCAAGCTGCAGTATTTCAGTCATGTCCAACCATGTGCCTATCCCTCAGCTTCAGCCTAGCCATGCCAGGGAGGAGGCATGGAGAAGGCTCTGTTGAGCCATGCACTTGCCCCCTCCACAAGTTTTTCAGCTCTCAATTTCACTGATGTGCAAGTTGTGTTGCTGCCGTGTGGAGACTGGGACTTGGGTCATCCCTGCCCATGGCAGGGGTGTTGGAACTAGATGATCTTAAGGTCCTTTCCAACCCTAACTATTCTACGATCCTATGATCTCGTGTTCAATTTATGAATGATGTAAAGCTTTGTTAGATAAATGAAGTGGGATGTAGAAAAAAGCTGAGCCCCGCAGCATAGTTCAGCTATCACCTTGAAAAGCCTGAAGATTTTTGATGGCTGTGCTTTGTTAGTGACCATGCTTAATGGCACTCCATAGCATCTGAGCAGGAAAATTCATTGTCTGTGTTCTGATGAAGAGGCTGGAAGAAGGTGAGAGGGAGATAGAAAACATGGGATCTTTTCCATACACAGATTAAGTCAACTTTTAAATGCATAAGAGATTAAGCCCTTGGAAATAAGCTCAATGCTGGTTTATTCTTAAGCAAATATGTGGAATAGGGCCTGGATAAAGCACAGTGAACAATGTCAGGCTTGCCAAGAATGGAAAGGTTCTCACATTTAAATGTGCTTTTTAAATTAGATTTAAAATTAGATTTTAAAAATGAACTTCCTGTGATACGGGCAGACTACCACCTTACTTTAGACAATTTTTAATGTATGCATGCATCACAGTAGCAGTGGGCAATCACACTGATTGATTCAGCTTTAAGTTCATTGAGGTCCTTCAGCAGAAAGCCCAGGAGACTGATTGTAGGATATATTTCTCCAAGTCATCTTCATTAGGTTTCTTATGATCTGCATCTTCAAACACAGTTATAAAGTGTTATTGTCATAGTGAAGCCTAACAGCAATTGCATTTGGTTGACTTAGTAATCAGCCTTTCTTCTTCCAAAATTGAAAGTCCTCTTTTCAAAATGGCTGAACTTCAGAAGTTTAAGTGTGCTTCCATGATAGTTTTGTGTTTTGAATATGGATGCAAGCTTTTCCGTAATGGTTTTTGCTTTCATTACAGATGGGGTTTGAGAAAGAAAAGTTAAAAGCAGTGGAGATTTCTGTAAGGATTTTCTAGAGGAACTGGATTCCATGGACCTGGAGTGTTAGTCCAGTTCCCAAATGACAGGAGGAGCTCAAGTGTTTTGCCAGATTGTTTTTGCAGTGTTATGAAACCTTAGTCCTATTCAAAAGGAGAAAGTGTGATTTGAGGACTAGGTTATTGGTATTAATCATATAAATATGTCTAGCCTAAACTGGGGTATGGGTGTGCTTGTCTGCTAGCTGCTAAGGTATATTTATCCGTGCTTGCTTACCTGGCTCCGTAGATGATTACAAAGAGGTCAGTAGTCTAAAATACTGCATCAAAAGATCTTTTTTTTGCTATCTGTTGCCCTTAGAGCAGTGTCAGAGACAAGCCTCTGCACTTCTGTGAGTACTGCAGTGCTTTCTGAGCCAGCCACCTGATTGAGCTACAAAAAGTGGAGAGAGAGAGAGAGAGAGACTGTAGTCATGTCTCTTCGGTCTTAATGCTGTCCTAAATGCATGTGCTTTGTTCATCACACAGTGAATCACAAGAAATTTCATGCCGTGAGAAAGGTCTGTGGCAGTCTTTTGAAATCTGCCGTAGCTGTTTATGTGAGCCTAAAAAATGTGGAATAGCAAGCAGTCCTTAAAACTGTATAAGGTTGAAAAACTAAATTCTTCTGTGGAAATCTGCTCTAAAATATCCTTTTACAAACTTGTAGGTATAGATCTTTGATTTCCAATCAAGAGGAGGAGATCACTAAAACTCAGTGGGGGTAGTAAATCACATTAGTCCTCAGAGTACATTTCAAGCAATTTAAATTATCTGAACATTTCTTTTTATTACAGATGATTCTTGCTGTCTTTGTACTTCTGTGGATTTCAATCATAATGTAACATGAATTGATTTCTGTCCCTGGGAGCTAATGACAGACCCTGTTTCTTTGAAATGCTCAAATCGGTTATACTGTGTATCTTATGCAAAGCCAAAGGATAGAGCTAGCACCTAGACATGGAGGTCAAAACCAAATCTCTTTGTTGGCTTCCTGGTGATTTCAAATCCACTGAAACGGATAAGACAATTTGAGTAAGTGTGCATCAGTAAAAACCCAGGTGATCCTCAGCAGTGAATTTTATGTTCTCCGCATTCAGGGCTATTGCAAGTAAAACTTTGTTCCCCAGTAGAGGCTAAGCAGATTTAATGCAAGATGCTGGGTGTTTTCTCTTTATTTATCTTTACTCCCACTCTGCTCAGCACCTGGGGGGTTGGGATCTTAGTTAGGAATTGCTGGCTAACATGGCTATTACTGGAAAGCTTCTATCTGAGCAGAGCAACTGAAAATCAAGTCTGATTCATTTTATTTATTTTTTTTTAGATTAAGTGGCATTGATTTTGTTCTGCATTTCATTGCTGGAGAAGTTTGGGTGCTGATGTTTGGTTTTGTCAATGGAAATATTATATAAGTTACTTCCTTAGTGTCATGTCTTTTTCTTCTTCTCAGCCTCAAACAGTAAGGGCATTCCCAGAGCTCCTAAGCGGGCACCCTTTTCCGTCCTCCATATCCCTCTCATTGTAATCATGCTTCCCCTGTGCCTTTTCATTCATACCGTCTTTGCCACTAGGCCATCTTCAGTCCATGAACTCTTCAAAAACATATGACTGTATTATATAATCCATCTGCTCTGATTTAAATACAGTTATTCTGGTTCAAGATGGCATAGATAAGTGTAAGATATAGTCTTTGGATCTTAATGCATGAATAAAGTCCAAATCAAGCAATTAAAGGATTCAAAGTATTTATCATGTTTTAAACTTCTTTTTAAACCATCAGGGCACGCAGTGTATTGTAGCAGAGCACAGTCTGAATCCATTTTGATTAGTAGGTAGTAGGAAATACATTGACAGTTGTTTTTCTGATTATTCACGTCACCGTTTTGCAAGGTAAGTAGTAGCTGGAAAAGGGACCATGAATTTCTGCTTTCTCCAACCTACTAATCCTTGTTAGTGTGCTAATAACATGCCGTTTTTATGCTTGCCTTTAACAGCTCAGAAAAGCACATTATGCCACTTTTCACAATACAGATACCTTGTGCCGATATCTGTAATCGCCAGAAATGTCAGAGGCACACCCATGTAACTGCATGCTCTCATTTTATTTTTTCCAGGTTTATTCCAATTTATAGGGGACCAAGTCATACATACAAAATACAAAGGCTGACAGAATCCACATGTTACTCATTCAGAATACAAGCAGTCAATGATGCTGGGGAGGGACCTTTCTCAGACATATGTACCTTCTGCACAACTAAGTCAGTCCCACCTGCAATCAAAGGTATGTAATAGATTTTTTTACCTATATATAAGTAACATGTAATTATTAAAGTAATTGGTGTGTGTGCAGTGAGTTTGTAAGGGTTAGCCTGAGTATGCAATAACACGTGAAAAACAAGTTTGTGCTGCTTGTGTATTTCTGTGAATAGTCAAGTTATATTATGGTGGGAAACTAAATTACCACCAAAATATTCATAAAAACACTATAGATGTTGCACCAACCACTGCTTTTACACACAAACTGTTAAAATTCTGCTGCTAACAATAGTGTTTACCAGGGATTGCTCTGGATTGCCACAGCACTTCTATAAGGAATGTAACAGCTGTAGTATATATGTATACCTACCAGCTTAAACATTAGTAAAGTTTAATGTTGGTTTTAGTTGTGTAGATGATGTTTAGCATGGAACTTTAGTGTTTATTTTTCCTTTAATGTATAAAATTATGATACTTCACATACATGAAGTGTTAGATTTAGAACTCACTTAGCTTGTGTTCCTCCGGAAGAACAAAAGGCCTAATTAAATGGTTTTATAATGGAACATCTTTTACTGTGTGTAAATTTTGGCCTAAGTAATTTTGTTCCTCCTTTCCAAGGAGAACTACTGCAAAGGTAGCGGATTCTCTGTATCAGCTGGCAGATAAAGTGAGCTGGAATCAAATGCACCCTTTTCTCCCTCTATGTTTGAGACTCCTTTGTCAAGCAGTACCATTTGCTGTGAGAAGTGGCAACTCTTAGCTTGTCAGAGAGGTTTCATTTGTTCTGCTGTATTTAAAATTTGGCTTTGGTGACTTTTGATACCATTTGTAATCAGAGATTTAGAGAAGGGAGAACACTGCTGGGGTGCAATTTCCTCAGTCCCTAGGTTAGCTGCTCTGAATTTTCCACTGGAAGAACAACACTTGAGTACAGAGAGGACATTGGGAGACTGGCTTCACTATACTAAAATCAGCATATGCAAGAATCCCATCTCTGTTTCTACCTGAGTTTCCTTTGGGGTTTGGCTTTTGCTTCAGTGCTGTTTCTATAAGAAGTTACCTGTATGTATGTGTTTGGTGTAAAGTTTGAGAGTAAATATACTTAAATATACTTAAATCATCTGTAATAAAAAGAAATGTTCAGATAATTTATGCCCAGTGGTGAATTGTCATGATTCACTCTTATTAGCAGTTGTGAGCTATGCTGCCCAGCAAAGCAAAGGGAGCTCATGCTAGATGAACCAGGCTGGTGTAGGTGAGAGTAGCAGGGAGGGTGCGCTTCACAGCTTTTGCGTATGCGAGTTGTCAGAGTGACTGGGCATAAGCACATGTCACTTGTAGATGCCAAGTCCATGTTGTCATTGCTTCTCTTAACTGCACTAAATGCATAAAACTATAGCACAGAGATGTGCTGTAGTCACATTTTCATTTTGCTGGGTAGAAATCCATTTTATTAAATTCAGATCTCACCTAGGTTTTGGTTTTGAGCTCCCTGCCTATTTAGTTTCTCTTAAATATGACTCATACCCTCAACTGAATATCAAGCAGTTAATACGGTGCAAATACCACGTCATGTGTGGGCTGGGACCGCAGGTACATGACAAAACACTGGCTGTAATGGGGAAAAGGGCAAAACAAAAATTGCATTAGTGAGCACTGCCAAAGGGAGGCAATGCTACAGGGAAAAGAGATCTGTTGAGGCAAAATTATGATGTTGATTCCTGTCTCTGTTTGGAGCAATACAGAGGAATGTACGTGATAAACTTAATATAGTTTTTCATGCGCATGTTTATTCTCCTATAAAGTATCCTAATCGCTCACTTAGTGATGCCAACCCTGAAATAGCATTATTTTTAATAGCAGTCCAAAATCTATGTGTATTGGAGTGAGGGATGTAAGAAGGATGGAAAATAATTGAGAGTGTTGTTGTCAGCTGAGATGCAGTCATCTATTATCAGTCTCTCGACACTGGCAGATGTGCAGAGAGAAGCAAATGGATATTGATTACATTTGGGTCCCCATATGATTCATGTGTTCCTCTTGGGTGGTAACAGATTAGTCTAAAATTCATGTAATGTATGCAGCAGCATTTGTTTCTTTGATAGACACTCTTGTTGTCTGTTTTCGTAGGGTTGGGAAGCTAGATTGCCGTTAACAAGCTCATGTCCTTGCATGTGCACATGTTAACCACTTGGTAGAGTATTCAGCACCATTGTTTCTCCCAGTTCTGGCTTTTTGTCATGTTCTTGCTTACTGTGTCTGATCAGGAGGTTGGTGGACCTCGGATGCTGTCGCAGTTGTTTTGATGTCTTCCAGTGGCAGATGCTTAATTTTACATCTAAACATGCTGCTGCTGTTAGTGCTCTGTGCTCTGCTCGGCTCACCTGCAGGCTTGCTGTTGGGCATAGTGCAGCATCTTTTGGCTTTCAGCTGATGGAAGGCCTTTCTCCCAAGGACAGCAGCATTGTAACAGCTGACTGAATTTCTCTAGAGTTCTAGTGAAAGTCCTGGTCTAAGCCTGGCTGGAAATAGCACATCTGATCATCTGAATGTCAGGCTCAGAAGCAGATGTGAGTCCGAGTCTTTAAAATTATGCTTATAACTTTTATTTCCTAGGCTGGACTTAATCTCTAATACAGAGGATTATTTAGCTTCCCTTTTCACATCCCTTCTATTTTTCCTGAATGAAGTGTTTGATATTATTTCTCTCTTTCAATGATGTGAAGCATGAGAGGAATACAGAGGCATCTCCACTGGCACAGGTGTTTGGTCAGAAGTTCATGAAACTGCTGCTTCTGTTAACAATAGTGTAATTTGTGTGTTTGTTTCTGCTTTGAAAAGATCAGTGTACAGCACTGCAATTGAATTTTAAAAGTTCAAAGTTTTCTATCATGTCCACTCACACTTTCCAGCAGCTCACATAACTGACAGGTGAGACATGGTCTAACAGCTAGCTCTCCTTCTGCAGAAGTGAACTGGATCCTGCAATAAACGTCTTAGGAGCTTGTTAATCAGCTCCGAATTTCACTCAGTTTTCTGTGGATAGTGTTTGTTGTTGTTCAGTACCACAAGAATCTTGTGCTTAATCAGGCAAGACTGTGCTGAAATAAATGAGATTTTTGAGTGACTTTCAAGTTTTGCTTCTTTCATCCAGCAATGATGGCAATTTGATGTTTTAGCCGCATAAATATGGTGTAGAATATCATAGAATCATAGAATAGTTAGGGTTGGAATGGACCTTCAAAGGTCATCTAGTCCAATCCCCTGCAATGAGCTGAGGCATCTTCAATTAGACGAGGTTGTCCAGAACCACATCCAGCCTGGCCTTGAACGTCTCCAGGAATGACACATCCGCCACCTCTCCAGGCAACCTGTGCCAGTATTTTACCACTCTGGTTGTAAAAAATTTCTTCCTTGTGTCCAGGCTGAATCTCCCCTTTCTTACTTTAAAACCATCTCCGCTTGTCCTGTTTGCTACAGGCCCTGTTAAAAAGTTTCTCCCCATCTTTTTTATAGGCCCCTTTTAAGAAATGAAAGGCTGCAGTAAGGTCTCCCCAGAGTCTTCTCTTCTCAGGCCTGAACAACCCCAACTGTCTCAGCCTTTCGTCATAGGAGAGGTGTTCCATCCCCTGATCATTTATGTGGCTCTCTTCTGGATCCTCTCCAACAGGTCCATATCTTTCCTGTACTGAGGGCTCCAGAGCTGGACACAGTACTCTAGGTGAGGTCTCACCAGAGCAGAGTAGAGGGGCAGAATCAGCTCCCTTGACCTGCTGGTCATGCTTCTTTGAATGCAGCCCAAGATACAATTGGCCTTCTGGGCTGCAAGCACACATTGCTAGCTCATATCCAGTCTTTCATGCACCAGTACCCCCACGTCCTCTTCAGGGATACTCTCAATCCCTTCATCCCCCAGCCTGTACTGATACTGGTGGTAATGTCCCAAAGGTCTTTTTTTAAAATGTTCTCATATATATTACAGTGCACGTAAATGAATAAGATTTCAATGCCATCTTTGTATTAAATGCTGATGCATTTCATTTTATTGTAGCTCCTCGAGTGACACAGATGGGAGGAAATGCCTGTGAAATTACTTGGGAAATCGTCCCACCCATGAAAGGAGATCCTGTTGGTTATGTTCTGCAGGTACTGGTTGGAAGAGAATCTGAATACAAGCAGGTAGGAAAGCAGTCTCGTTTTAATATTGCTAAATTGATGAGATAAAGGAAACATTTTTGAACATTTGCTGTGCTGCTTTGTTCTACTGTGTTGAATTGCACCCTATGGTGATGTGTCAGGGGAACTTTGGTAAAGGCTGAGTCAAAATTAAGGGCTGTAGTAGGTTGGGGTTTCCCCTGAGGAGGTATATAGAACATGGTTTTCTGTTGAAGTGATTTGCACTCTGTCCATAACTAAACTATTTCTAAAGGAACTAACCTTTGAAAAGCTATGGTTCTGACCACCCGTGCTTTCTTCTCAACTGATAACCAGCTGTGGAAAAGAGGGAGAGTTCCACTATTTCACCTTCTCAGAAATCAGTTTTTCCCATCAAAATGAGTTATCTTCATCATGAATGTGGGTGCTGTCTCAGCACTGGGTCACATCACTGACTTACTGTCTGTCAGCTAAGCTGCAGTAGCTATGTGCATGCTCATAGCTCCTATTATGTGAAAAGAAGACGAAATACATACATGTCTTTCAGTGATTTTCTGGCTAATGCATTTAACTTTGCTGTGGCATGGGTGCAGTCACTTACCGCTATTTAACTGAAAACTAATGTTAATGATGTTAACCTAATTGAAGTGCAAGCCCTAAATTTACTTTAAATCTGTTTTGTTCCCTGCAAGTGAGTATATATTTTGCATGTGTATCTCAAGGGACATATTATATTAGAAAAGTTTTACAAATTGTTTTCAAGTGTTGCACAAATGAAAAATATTGTAGCTTTTCAGGCTATTAAATACACCCATGAGAAAAAACAGTGTCCTAAGTGACTGGAGTTTCTATTGCAGTTGCCAGAGCATTTTGCAAGATCCAGGGATAGTACAGCTGGATAAGGAGATAAATAGCTGCATGAAGTAATTTTTTATGTCCCACTGTCATGGAAATAAATGCAACAAATAGCTATTTCAAGCTATTTATGGGCTGTGCAGGACTTCATATCACATGTTGGGTCACTCGTCCTCAGACGTTTTCCTCTTCACTCACCTTCCAGGACACAGCTGTCTCTGTTCTGTGACACAAAATCATAGAATATCTTGAGTTGGGACTAATAAGGATGACATGTTTTACACCACCCCAGATGCAGATGTTTCGTAGAATAAAAATCCACTTTTAAAACCCCTCTTAAAATTGAAACCTTTCAACTAATCAACATGTAAAATTCTCTGTTACAATGCTGTAATTCTATCGTCAGATCACTTTGCAGCAATTTAAAGGCAACTATTTAACAGAAGACATTAAACAGTTTAAATAGGAAGGCATGTTAAAACCCCATGGATTCTTTGTGTCTACTCCCAGTTGATTCACTTCAGATGAATACTGCTGATAGGTGACCAAAACCAGTTTCCTCATTTTGTCTTAAACCGCTGATCTTGTAAAAGTTTATGAGTGTAATTTCATATGCAGCTATATCCTGGAGCAGAACAAACCAGTGAAACGGTAAAGCATTTACAAACATCACCATCTGTAGATGTGACTATGCACAGCAGAATTAAAGATGATGATGCTTGTCAATCTATTTTTTGTGTAGGGAATGGGAGAGTGTTTGAGATACGTTTGTGTTTCTCCCCCAGGAAATTTTACAATGATGTTTGTGTTCTGGCAAAGATATTTGTTATTCTGACAAACTTACTAGGAATATGACAATATGACTTTTGTGATACTAGCTTATGCCTTTTAAACTGGTGTGATGGCATTTTATTGACAAGAATGTTGCATGCTTTACATAGTAGATTTTACTCTTTTCATCCAAATAAAGGCTTGGAAAAGGAAGATTCTATCATCATGAAAACTGAGAACTTTTTAATGATGATTGTGTTTGGGTTTTCAAACACAGCTATATTCTGTGGCTAGTTGCGCACATGGTGTGGCACAGTGTTGAGCACAGAGTCTCCCTGGACTTGATAAGAAAGCTTACAGAAATCCTTAAGAAGCACAAATGTGAAACTCAATTCCTATTTCTGGAAAAAATTTACATTACAGATCTTGACCCAGCTCTTTGCTAGGAAGACTTTTAGAAGGTGCAGAATGTGATGTTCTGCCATATTGATTTCATTAATAGAAGAAAAACTTCATCTGGGTTCTTTGTGCTGATTAAGCATGAAGTAGTCTGCTTCAGCTTATTCTGGCACAGGGTCAGGTGCATGCTAAAGTAGCCATGTTTCACTTCCCTTATTCACACAGCATGGCTCCTTAGTACACAGCACTGATTTTTCTGGAACTGCCTGTAAATCAGTATAAAGTAGGGCATGGTAACACCTCTCTAGTGTGTTTTGGCTCTAAAGTGAATAAATATAGAAACCTAATTATGAAATAAAACATTAATAGGAGGAAACAAAGCTTGAGCTCCTTGTAAATCTGTTGCTGCATATGCCATCCTAGCGATGAAACTCTTGAGAGATGAACACCTAGGAGCAGACCACTGCTCTGTACTTGCACCTCGCTTATGTTGTAGAAGCAAATTCAAGTTACAGAAAATACTCTTCATTAATTTATAAAATAAACTAAATCACTTTAGCATTCCCTTCTCCTGCTGTGACATTAAGCATTTACATGCTTTTGGGCAAAGCTATAGTTTCTCTCTAGATCATCGCACCTGAGCTGAGCTCCCTCCCCTGGTAACCCAATGTATGCAGCCCTCTACATCGCAAAAGTCACTGCTGTCCCACAATTTGTCGGAGCAGAGTTAGTATCAAAGTACTCGAAAGCTCTGTGTTTTACAGACTCATGTATACGTGTCCCTGTCCTCCTCTGGGGGAACATATAAATGTTTCTCTGATGAGAATTGTCTGAAAAACTGGATTTGCAGAAGCTAAACGCATGACATTGTGTTCCCTACAAAGTGTGTTCAACAAAATTCTCAAGCGATGCGTTCCTTTTTGTGTCTTTGTTAGTTTTATCTGTTTGAATACTTAAAAAAAGGATTGAGATATGACAGCTCTTTGTAGGAAATCAATTTTTCCTTTTTTACGAATCAGGATGTAAATCACAGCTGCCTCCAGGAATCAGTGCCCCAAATTTGTTTTTCTGTTTCTTGCACTTTCATCTAGCAAAACTTAGTCAGAACTTACCTTTAAAGCATGTTAAAATCATCTCCAGCTTTGCATAGTTTTAATCTGGAATGTGGGGAGTGGGATGGGTTGTGCAGCGCTAGCAGGAGTTGAAGCTTTGGATAGCAGTTGTAACAGTCGCAGCCTAAGTTTTAGTTTAGTTCCCCAGCTGAGCAGCTCTGGGCATTGAATCACTGAGGAGCCAGCTCTTAGTAAGAGCTGACCACAGGAAATGAGAGCTGAGCTTTAAAGCTTATCCTTAAATTGTTTGCCAGTGAGGCAAAATGTTCTTACATTGGAAATTTCTGAGAATTTGGAGGCAGTGGTGTTTCATCGGCTTCTGTCACATCTCCTCTGGGAGAAAACTTTCTCTTTTCTGCTTTCCAAAGAAGAAAAGATACGGGTGGGATACACTGGGTGTGTAGAAAAAATCCAGCAATGCAGTGCGAAGCCTGCTGCGGTCTGCACTGAGGTGGATGCCTGGGAGAACGCAGTTGGCTTAACAAGCTCTGATTTTCATTAGTTTTTCTTTGTTTCAGACTCAGTAGACGCACAGTCTCTGAAATGCATTTGGTGTATTGTTAATCTGTATAAAGCTCTAATCAGCTAAAAATGGGGTTTCCCTCTCTCTTTAAAATAGGGAGTCAAAGGCACTTGTGCTGGTTGCATGCCGAAGTGCAACATACTTGTACAGTACACACTGGCATGTGTTGTTAGTGCTACTTGCACTCAGTATTTTCTCTGCCTCCAGATGCCAATTTTGTGTCATCAGATGGAGCAAATAATTTTCTTTTGGTAGTTTTTCAGTGCAGCCCACCTTGCAGAAATTGATCTGAGGGACTCTTGTGTCCTTTGTTCAAGGGACAAGGCTGTCAATGCAGCTCCTAAGGGTTTATGAGCATCTCAACAGTGGAGTGAGTGAATCTGATTTTGAGTTTGGATAGAATAACAACCTAGTTTCTGAAAGAAAAATCTGTCAGATGGCGTAGAAGAAATTAAACCTTTTAAGCGGGCATGCTTTCTAAATAGATTGAAACCTGCCTCTAATTCTTGATCTTCTTCTATCTCAATCTTCACCATACAAAATAGGCTTTTATTAATTATGAAGTACACTGGTCATTGCAGTGGAGTACAACAACCAAGTAAAGTTATTTTACGCTTGCGGTGTGTTGCTTATAGGGCAATCGTGGCTGTCATTTTTATTATTTGGAAAAGATGAAGAGGGGGGTGGAATTATTTAATTACATTGGTGAAATTGAGAAATACTTGCCTACAGGAATTCTCTGAGCTGTCCAGCTTGATCAGTAGGATCAAATGCCTAAGAGGATTCAGCAGCATTTTATTACTTGTGATGATACTCTCATTGAGGGAGCCAGGCAAAAAGCTCATCATGTTTTTATTCTATTCTCAGGTGCCTATACAGAAAAGCTGTTTTTAGGAAATGAAAGTGATAAATTGGCTAGCCACTTCACTTTGACTTGTTTTCCACCAAAGCATAATGTGCTACATGGAAAAAAGTATGCTGCTTTGTAAGTTGAGTTCATATTTGTGCAGCAAATTTAAAGACCTTGTACAAAATTGTCAATTTTTTTTTCCTCTGTTTAATAAAACACGTGAAGTCCATTAACAGAGTGTAACTGTGTTTACAACCAAGCATGTATCTTTGTGCTGAGGGCATCCTGCGTTGGCTTACCCTGGCCCTATAGATTCTACTGCAGCCAATAGTGTCTTTAGGGCACTTGCTGCAGCCAGTTGTGGAGGATGCAGGAGCTACTGTCGGAAGTGAATGACAACTAAGCATAGTAATTTTTTACTCAGTACTAAGAAAGAACTAGGTCCCTTGCAGGAACTTTAAGGTCCCTTCCAACCCCAAACCATTCTATGACTAGTGGATATTGGTTCATGTATTCAAGGTACTTTCATTGGTTTTTCAAGCTTTCTTTAAAGATACACTTTTCTCTCACTTGACTGTCTGGCCTTTTTCTGAAAAGTGCTGTTGAGTAGCTGGCCTAAGATAACTTGGTCAAGTAGCTGGCTTGAGTGAACTTGGTCATCTATATTTATTAGACCGGCCTCTGATATAGCCAGACAGCCTCCAGTTACACTGGTGTTCACCACCTTGACAGCACAAAACAAGTGAAAAATAAAAACCCAAAACAATTAACTGGACAGGTTTTCTCATTGCAGAGACAGGTTTGTATATATCCCATCCCTGGGGGAGTAGTTAAATGTAGTATCTGTTACATGTAATTTACAAAGCTTAGATTGTAAATTTTTTATTAAATATCATTATTTGGATTTTACTGGATCTTTATTTTGATTTAGAAGTGGTCATATTGGTTGCAAAGGCTCATTTATGGCAAAGACATGTATTACTGATTATACATCTTGAAATGAAGTTGTTAATTGCAACAGCACCAGAAAACCTACCTTGTTTACAGTTGTTTTGTAGGATAGACGTTTTGAGTCTCAGAGTCTAAAGAAATGGGAGGTAGGTAATTCCTCCAAATAGAAGAATCCTGACTCTGATTCTGTGGAAGAGCACATCCTTTTTTAATGACTTGCTGAACCTACATTTATGTGTCAAATGCATGCAACTTTTCTTTGTATGATTATTTGTATTTGGGAGTAAACTGAGGTATTAACCAGCTACAAGACGTAGCATTGATGGTGGAGTAGGTGGAGTGCATTTGCCCACAACAGGTGGGTATTATAAATGGAATTGCCATTGGAAAACTGAGAAACAGAGATGTTCATGGGATGAGGTATGCTTTGCAAACAGATGTTTCAACCTTCATGTTATTTCTGTGGACCACTACAGCAACTTGTGGTTTTGCTTTCCCTGCAATTACTGTATTACTGTAACTTAATGACTCACTTCTTGTTGGCATTGGGAAGACAGGCAAAGACAAGGAAGGCAACATAAAGGATGTCCATAGCTGTGGTTAATCACACAGGTTTATGTATTAATTTGCTTCATTCCCATCACTTAAGCTAGAGTGAACTTCGTGTGAATGCTGAGCATATTTGAGGAAGGTAACATAACTTTGTTTAAACATTGCTTCTTGACTTATGCCTGGGGGCCAAGAAACCTGAGCCAGTTAGAGGACTTCCACTTAGTCCAGAAATTCAGTCCCTGTCATTCAAACCATATTTGGAAAAATTGTGAGAGTTTTGTGAAAGACTTTTAAAGAAGTTTTTCTAAACGGTTCTCTGAACTGTGAAAGGGGGGGAGAGAACAAATGAAAAAAAAACATGAATCTTCCGTCCCAGGCCTTCTCAAGAAATCAGTGACTGGCTTGTTAACTGAGGGATGAGTCTCAGGGGCAAGCATGGGCAGGAAAGCTGGACTTTTTAACTGGTGTTTAGCCAAGCATGTCTCTTCTTTTTCCTTCTGTGTTTCTTACTCCAGAGTAATGCACAGGAAATCCTCTATCATCTCATGTTTAATTTCCCTCTTGTTACCCCTTTCGAAGTTGATTCCTTACCTCTGGGAGGGCTGAGATGCTCTCAGCCTTCTGCTCCTGCAGCGAGGAGAAGGAAACTGGCTAAATAAGCAGAGGAAGAAGTATCTGAAGTTCAGGATGGTTTGGTTTTTTTTTCCAGCAGACTCTTTGTGACATTTTTAACTCCTTCAAACACCAGTTTCAACAACCCTCGCTTATATAAATTGTTGACTGGTTATTTGTTTTCGAAGTACACAAATGTTTCCAGTGGTCTTTTTCCATTTAAGTCACAAAACTGTCTCTTAGATACTCATCTCTCATATTGTGACTCGTGCTCTGAGTCATGTGGTACCTACATTTGATTAACATAAATATATGATGGGTTTGGATTGCTAAAGAACCAAATGCAGTGCGCCCCAGAGGAGCGTTTTTATACCTTAATAATATTTTATTGTTTCCATAATTCTGAAAGTGTAATTTCTGTAAAGATTCTGACTCTTGAGGGAAATGTGAGGGAAAGTATGTTAAAACAGTATTTCTAACCAATTTCATGATTATGCAGTGGATGTCTTCCAATGGCCTTAGTTTGCAGGGACCAAACACAGTGCTTATTCCTTAGATGTATTTTAGGCATATAGTCATGTTTTAAGGATACAGAAATATGTTCATGGTATTTATCATACCCACAAAAGATGAGTAATTCTTATGGTTGATATATTTTTTGAGTCTTGTCTGTCTTTGCATATATTGACTCTGTTGAATGCTTTGCAGTGAGACTTCTCATGGTTTGGGCATCTCTTGATGGATTGAGGCTCCCTTAGTGGCTCTTGCTGCTCAGAACAGAGCCTTCTGCCCACGGTGTTTCCCCTCACTCTGGTGCTGAAGGCTCCTCGCTGGAGATGTTGCTAGTTTTCTTAATGGCCTGAAGCTGTTAAAGGAGGAGGAGGCTGGCTTGTTCTTTGTATTTGACTGTGCTTGCTGTTTTGTTTTGAAGGTGTACAAGGGAGAAGAGACCACATTCCACATCTCAGGCCTTCAACTCAACACAGACTATCGGTTTCGCGTCTGCGTCTGCCGCCGGTGCTTGGATACCTCACAAGAACTTAGTGGACCTTTCAGCCCATCCGTTGCCTTTATGCTTCAGCGTAATGAGATCATGCTTTCAGGAGAAATGGGAAGCATAGATGATCCTAAGATAAAAAGCATGATTCCTACTGATGAACAGTTTGCAGCCCTCATCGTTCTTGGCTTTGCAAGTTTGTCAATCATATTTGCCTGTATATTACAGTACTTCTTTATGAAGTAGGGGATTCAATGGAAGTTTGAGATACAAATTTAACTAATGCTACGCATTATAATCCCACATTTATTCAGATACTCCTTTTTTTTTTGAAATCCTTTTGTTCTACCATACATTTTATATACTTCTTGTTTTTACAGTTCTAGCTTGAAGAAAGATAAATCAGTGTTTTGGTGCACCTTTTTGAAATTCAAAACTTGGAAGTGGTCAAACTGGAGAAACAAACAAACCAGACACCAAATGCAAGGTTTTTTATTTTTTCCTCTACAGATTCAAAATTGTCACCGATTTGTCTTTTCAACGTTGTTTTGGGTTTTTTTCACTGAAGTTCATACAGTCTCTTATTTTACCTTACTATTTAGGAAATTTTAATCATGAGTCACTTTTTTGTCTCTTCTTTTTCCTTCTAAACATTAGTCATGAGTGTGTATAGTGGCAAGACTAGAATACAGTGTTAGTCAACAGTACCGAGTTTTCCTTGAACAGTATTAGCCATGTTGCCTATGAGTTATTCACTACTTTTGCCCCATTTTTCTCAAGGTAAAATCTAAGTTATTTTAACTGTGTAGTGCATTTAAATCGGAACAGTATCCTGCAGCTTAAAAACTTTTTTAATTATCTGTTACTTTTACAGTTACAACACTATAAACTGCCTGTGTAAGAAATCAAATAACCAAATTGCATATAAATTATGAAGCATTATAGATTTTTTTACCATTTTGATTCCTAGCAGTAATTTTAAGTAAGAGGGCATTGTGCAATAGTTAGTTATTCCCATGTTCAGCTATTTAAAAGCTGCTTTAGCTTGTCTGTTCGTCACTGTATATAACTATTCCTTATCTAATACTAGATATTATTCTATTATGTTCAGCCTGATTTATATGATTATTGCTGGTGACGGCTTACTGCCTCTACTGAATTAGGTGAGATTTTCACTCAGTGTAAGCAAACTTTACTGTTGGTTGATCTTTTTTTATTACTGTTATTTTTTGGAGGGGTATCCATTTTATGGAACTTTCTTGGAGGTATCAGAAATTAGGTCTGTCTATTTTAAATACCTTAAATGGGTATCTACGCTATTCTTACCACAGGGCTGATTGAAATAATAACTTGGTACATGGCAAAATTCAGATGAGAGTCTTGCAGGAAGAGTAGTCCCTGCTCTGATGGGAGCATGTGCCCCTCCCGCCTGCCCCTTCCCAGACACATATTTTAATTCATCAAGATACTAGATTTTTAACTCTGGAGTCATTGGATTATTTATATTAAGTCAACATTGTGCAAGTACCTCAGGGACATAAATGAGCTGGAGGTGCAAATAGATTCCAAAAGGGTGCAACAGACACAGTGTATTTCCCTGCCTCTTGTTTTTGTATATTTTTGCTACTTGGTTTTGCTTTTGTCCTAGCTATTTTGTGCTCTTGTCTCCATTGTCTTAAGATTCAGTGTCCTGTACTAGCATAATATTCCCTTAACCAAAGTAATGGGGAAGAAACAACATTATTTTTGGTTTAGGTTTATTTATACTATATACTGCATACAGTACTTTAAATACCAATTACAGTGCAATCTTTTATTTATTGTAAAAAATAAAATAAAAAGTGTACTTATGTACTAATCCCCCTCTCCACCCTCCCCATAGCATGTTATATTTTGTCTGTTTTATACTGTTGTACTTAGGTCAACTTTTTACCTGGCAGCATTCCTAGTAGTATTAATCTTCTTACATTTTCTTGTGTTTTTGAAGATGGGAGCATCTAGTACATTAAATGCCAAAAAAAAGAAAAAAAAAAAAGAAAAGAAAAAAACCATTACCAGTGATTCAAACGTTTACATGTATCCAAAAACATAATCATCTCTGGAAAGAAAGTGCTAAGATCAATGAATTATTCTGTGTGCCTCTCTAGATGTAGCAGATATTAGAAATGTTCTGTATTTTGTTATTGACTATAATTAGTTTAATTTAGCATTGCAAACTAATGGTATTGAGCTAAATATATATATTTTTTTGGTTTTGCCAAAGTCATGGCTTGTCAAATTTATTTACATCTTATTTAAAATTATTTGTGATACAAAACTTTGTGACCTTGCATCTGTATTTTGTGAGCAAAACATATACAGCTGTTTTCAGTGGAGGGGAAAGAGAGTATTTTTTCAAACAATGAAAAAACTGCTAGTTTGGAAACCCAGAAATTTTAAGAGATTCCCTTTTTTATTTTTGTTCCAGCAGTGCTGCTATGAAGTCCAAGCTTGACACCTTTTAAAAAAAAAAAAAGAAAAATAAAAAAAAAAGGAAAAAAATATACCCACCTTGCTCTAGATGATTTGATCAATTTTGATCTTGAAAGTTTGAAATACAAATTGTGCTAAAAGTGGTGAGCAGAAGCAATCAGTTACTCTTGAAGCATTTCTGTCACTGCTACATTGTTTGGTGTCCCTTATAATCAATGCTACCGAGAACACCCAGTCCAACCCTGAGATTATCTGAGCAAGTATTCTGTAGGAGTTGGGACAGGCCCTTAGTGAGTTTAATTTGGCATTATTTTTAGTTTGTATATTCTGCCATAGTGATCTGATTGTCATTCATATATTGACAAGAAAATAAGGCATCACAGATGTTAAACCATTCCTGTCGTGATTGCTGTTACCACTGACGTGCCCTTTGCTGATGCCTTTTCCCACACACCCTTTGGTCCAGCAGTATCAGACATTGAATCCAACCCAAGTGCTCTCTGCTATCAAAGAAATAATGAACAACAAAAACAAAGGTAGAATGAAACACTAAATATTTAAAACCCTTAATGGAGGAGAGAGATGGTTTTATATGGTTCTGCCTTTTTCTTCATGAACTTGAAATATTTTCTAATCCTGTTTGTTGGCTACAGTAGCTCAGTATTCAGTGTCATGATTGAAAAAGTGCCCTAACTGAATGTGTATGAATCTTATCCTTGCACAGTTCTTTAAATTGAAAAAAAAAAATAAAATGTTTTTACCTCACTATGGGAACATACATTCCAAGCTTTTCAACTTTAAAAAAAAAAAAAATCATAAGTTTTCTTGTATTGTAAATTTTAGACTATTTCATATGCATTATATTAAAACTGCCATATCAATTTTAATGTATAGATTTTGCAAATACTACACTATGTATGTAAGACTTAACTGTATCTGTAGTGTATATGTAATATATTTATGCCCAATAAATGTTTTAATTCTTTCTGATATTACCAGGACTTTTCTTAATTGAATACAGCGTTTTCACTGTGTGTGGCCCCTTGCTGCAGGTCAGTGGTTCTGCTGCAGCAGGAGCAGAGCCCCCCAGTTTAACATGGGATGCTTCTGATTTGTAAGTGGAATGATTTTTGTGGTGTTTGTGAAGTGTTTGCTGGTGCAGTTAAGCCGTTTGTGGCATCATCTTCTCTTAGACTGTGCTAAACACACCACAGATTGCTCATCCAGCTCCTGGAAAGCTGAAGCTTAGCCAGGCTGTAACCTGTGCCGTGTATCCAAAGGCTGCTCCTGTTTTGACCTCAGCATCATCCAGGTAAATGTCAAATTTCTTCTCATGTTAGCTGGTTTCTGTAGCCCTCTGCCTCTTCATCCGTGGGAAATCACAGTCCTCTCCCTGGGGCTGCCTAGCCTGGGGCAGTGAGCTGTAACCGCTGCCCCACAGTTTGCTCCCCTTGGTAAGTGAAAGTTTATAGAAATAATCTTAAAGTCAGGTTTCTGTGGTGTTTTAATCACTTATTTTAAATAGCTTGCATGAAAATGTAAGGATGGTAAAAATACACCTAGATCGGTTATCTTTGAAATCAAACACTTGAAATACCAAACTTTTCACTTACTTGCTAATTATGTGCAATAAATTCAATTACTCATCATAAAGAACTGTTCTAGTATGTATACATTTTTCTTGTCAAGCACATTTTTTAAATAGCTTTTCTTTTTCAAATCACTGCATAAATACCACGTCTTGTTTGTTTGTTTGTTTAATTACTGGAATTTACAACATGAGTGGGTTTTCCTAGGGAAATACAGACACTTTTTCACTTGGTTGCTGTGTTTGCTGAAACAATCTCTCTTTAACAAAATCTTTTAAATAATGTCTATAGAATACTAATCAGCACTTTGGTATCTGAAGAGAATCTTTCCAGTAATCCCTGGTTTACAGTATTGCCATGGGTGTCTGCAGCAGCGATGGGGGACAGCTAAAGCCCATGGGAGTGAAGGAGGATTTAGGTGTTTGCTGGTTGAGATCTGAATGTTATTTTGCAAAGTTATAGGCTTGGTGCTGAGGTGCTGGGTCCCTTTTCCACACTGAAACGAAGCAGAGGTGGGTAAATAGCACTAATTTTCCAATGGATTTTGTTTTATGAGGAAACAGCAAATTCTAGCCAGGCTTGGGCAATGTTATATTTACCAGCATCTCTTGCCTGCTTACACCTGTTTGGACAAAAGTATCTGTTTAGAAAAGTTTTGGAACAGAGCAGAGGCTCGTATTTTTAGATATTGTTGAGGCTTTACAAACAACCTTTCAGGTGGCTCTGGAGTTGGATGTGGACTGTGGCACATACTGCAATTTGAGCAATCTCCAGGTCTGCCTGCAGCAGAGCGGTCACCAGGTTTCTATAGCAGCAGCAATTCTCTCTTGGTAATCAAAGAGCCTGTTCATAAAACTAAATGGGTAGGATTTGTTTTGCTTTTGACTTCAGTCACTGGTGCGAGTTGGGAGCATGTTTGGATTGGTGGAGGGGAATTGAGCCCCTTTTAAAGGGGGGTATCTCTGTATGAGAAACAAGTGTATCAAAGTAAGACGTGGTGTGATCTGAGCTGCCCGCTGCCCAGGACAAGTAAGAAAGCAAACCATATTTGGAGGTAACTTCAATCTGTGCTGTTCACCTCCTGCGGAGCTTTTCCTGCCAGACTCATTCAAGTCTTTGAGTTTTTAAGAGATACTCCAATTGAGCCTACTATAAATAGCACTTGTTTGAAGGGAGGTAGATGTTAACTCTAGCCTTTATGTCAGGGGACCCGGGCACTCCTGCGTGTCCCTCCTGTTTTCAAGCATAGCAGAGGTTCTGAAAACACCCCTGAAAATTAAATCCTTCAGGAGCTTCAGTGTAGACATCTCCAGGGCATGCTGTATAAAACAGCATCGCCTGAGTTACTCCTGCCTTGTGGGCCAAGGTATCGTTGTTCTCAGTCAGGTGGGAGTTGGCTGAGTTACCCGAGCTCTCCTGTCATTTACAGGTTTGCAGCTGGGAATGCTGCTGTTCTTGTCTGAATGGAGGGGTGGTGACACCTTGTACAGAGCCTGTAGTGGTGGTGGAAGCTCAGTCGTTCAGCATCTGACTCGTTTGTCAACTGAGTAAAGCTGCTGTGATGTGTTTGGCATTTGTGGGGAAGAGAGGCTCCTCCTCCTGCATGGGGAAAGGGGAAGGTCTGTCAGTACTACAAGTCGTGGATGAAAGAGAGGAAGTGCTCCAGCCTCCATCCATCTTTGATGTGATTTGAATCATCACTGTCTTTAATGGCCCCAGTGTGTTTTGGTCCTTTTGCTGAAGCTTAAGGTTGCAGATGACACATGGAAGTTAATCTTAAACTGGTAGAAAGTGGTGGGATGAGTCCTGGTGCTCACAGCCCACCCAAGTCTCCACATTGACCACTAGGAAGCTGGTGGAACTGAACTGCTTAGTCTCTGCCAGACCCAAGCCAACACCTTTCTCCTGCTTGCACCTGTGTTTGTTTGGAATTAAACAAGTTGTACAAAACCAGACTGGTTAATGTTTTTAAAGAAGACTCCAGCTGTAACCTAATCTTTACTTCTTCATGCCAAGCCTAAATGGATCCTTCAAGACCTTGGCAAAGTTTGAGCAATTTATGGTCTAGGGAGATGGGGTGATTTCCACACCCCCCAGCACCAATGACACATACATGAACCAGATGGTTCTGTTACACCTGTCTGCGCCCAAAGGTATGGAGGAAAAGTTATAGAGAAATTAGTGGGGAAATGCGATGCATCAATTATATTTCCTGTGTAAATCTTTTTCTACAATTATAGAATTGTTGCAGAATTCATGATGTATTGTGATTTATTGAAGTGGTGTAGAATTATATTCTCTGTCCTTAACATTCACCTGCCTTGCTGTGAAGACACAAATGTTATCTCTTACTCAGCAGTGAGAGCCACAAGTTAGTAGAGGAGGAGATATGAACATTTTGGTTCATTATTTTTATGACTGAACAGAAAAAGCCAGCTGAGATCCCTTGAAAAAGCTATTTCACCAGTATTACTTTTAATAAGTTCTACATGATTGCATCTGTTTCTGCTTGTGACAATTGCTCTCTCAAAACGTGCAGATTCTTGGCTGGGTGAAATAAAAAAATAAGAGGTTTCACAAGGCACATTCAAACACAGTGGATCAGGCTCCTATCTGCTGTTATTTAGGTGACTGTGCTGTCATTAGTTTGAGTAGTTACATTTACTGTGTTAATTGCTGGTATAGATGTTATTGCATGCTATCAAACCTATTTTTAGGTCTACTATCATGTAGATAGTTAGTAAATAACTGCTTGGGTCAATGTGCTCAGTGGGTGTCATTTCTTGGTAATTTTATTAGCTCATCTCACTTCATCATATGAAAGCTATTCTCTACAAATAAAATGGAGCAAACAGTAGGGATGCAGCAGTCTTGTAAGGATTAAAACATGAATAGAGTTGAGAAATTCCCCCTAATCCAGTGTAGATATTGTATTTATTTATTAATAGCTCAAATTCCCTTTCTAGCCACAAAATGCTTGCAAGCAGGTCACGGTGTCCTTGGTTCAGGGGGCTCTGCTGCACGGC